CAAAGAAGAGAGATCTGGCTGCTGCTAATCTTTCTACAGATATTATAGCGATCTGTTACATAGTGCTACTAGTATATGGGGGTCGGAAGATATACTCGACTGTGACAACGGGAACGTGTCACTGGCTGGAGGCAGTGCAAACGATCAAGACACGAGTCTTCCTCCAGGCCGGTCCTTTATACGTTTGTGGCCGGCACTGAGGACGACCCTCGTACTGATCCTGGTGCCAATGATGATGCTCTGACTGACGCAGCAGGATTCGAGGCTGAACTTCGGACTGATCCTGTGGGGGGATCCAACGTAGCGCTCACTTCTACCCCTTCCTCGCCTTGTGGAGGTACCATACCAGCTTTTCTTGGCATGATCTTGTCAAAGGAATCCTCATCAAGGTAGGTCACAAATCCAACACCAGTGGCATTGTCAACTCCTGCTACATCAATGTCAATGGCTAGGCGGTCCAGTCTGTTCCTAAGTCGATCCGCAGAGTAGTATTGCCCATTTGTCATCAAACAGGCTATCAAGCCAGCAACATGGGGACATGCCATGCTTGTACCTGACATGTTCTGAAATCCACCACCTGGCTTGAAGGAAGTGACATCCACACCAATACCAGCATAATCTATGAGTGGATTGCTGTTGGAGAAAACTGCAACAGGAAGGCCTTCAGCCTTTGCAACTGCAGCAATGCTGAAACATTCTTTGTAGGATGCAGGGAAGGAAATTTCATTGGTGAGTGGATTGTCGTCTCCTTCATTTCCTGCTGCGCACACCAATACCACGCCCTTGTTGGATGCATACTGAACTGCTTCCCAAATCTTGTCATTTGGAAATGCTCCACCCAGACTCATGTTGATTACTTGACATTTTGCATCAGTTGCATCTCGGATCGCTTTGGCAATGGCTTGGTCCACAGAGAGACTTCCCTCACTGCCAAACACCCTGTAATCGTATAGTTCTGCATCCGGGGCCATCAAGTGAATTGTCCCTGCTACATGTGTGCCATGGTCATCTTCTTCCAGAGGCGTACCAGAGCGAATCCAGTCTCTTGACTTTACTTGCCCTCTAAAGCCTGGGTGTTCTTGGTCAACTCCAGAGTCAATCACTGCCACACGAACACCCTTTCCTGTGAGACCTTCTTCTTGGAGCTTGGCTCCTCCTGTCAACATGACACCCAGGGGTAATCTATCTTCATCAACATCACTTGTTGCCGCTGCCCGATAAACGCTCGGAGGCAAAATAGCAGGGGTTTTGGTGCTCTGCACAATCGGCCCTGCATAGCTCAAGTTTGTTGACTCACCAATCTTCGGTTCTTGTTGTGGTGTTTGTTTCTTACTGCAGCAACAAAAGATTATGAAAAGAACCACTGCCATGAGAACCGTTGTGCATATGGAAATGACAAAAGACCATCGCAAATCGTATTGAGGAATGTCGCTGGAAAGTGGAATTATCAATGCAATCAACAAAATCAAGGCGGCTGTTGCCCAAGCAATGAAGGTAGCAATCAGTCCACAGCATGTTCGCGAAGCGCATCCTTGATCAGACCCTGGCTCCAAGGAAACGACCATGCATGTTCCGACTGCCAGTGCAAAGCTAACAACGACAGCCACAATGTAAAACACTTGCGTAATATCCGAGACCAAAGCAATGCGGCATTTTTGATCTTCAATGGGGATATCATTGGGTGCCTTTGCGGGCACAAAGAATTGTCCACAAAGCTTTTTCTGGAATATGCGATCACTGTATTCCCATTCATCGATGCGGTAGGACTCAATTTCAATACAAGGATCCTCGCCCTCCACAAATTCAAACCACAGAGTGCTGTATTGATGAGTACGTTCTCCCGACAAACTGGCACATCCATCCGTGAAGGGTCCTCCCTTGGTCGTTCCGAGCCGATCTAGTGGGGCTGATTGCAAAATGGGAAAGGAATAGGCGCCACTGGGGTCATCTCCATAATACGTGTGCGTGCCTTGATCAAAGGCTACCATGTGCGCGTCCCCAGCAAGGACCAGAAGATTGCGTGGACCATCCGCAAAGACTTGGGTAATCAAGTTGGACAATGCCGACCGATCTTGTGCGTAGCTCGCGTCCAGCCAACTTCCAGCCACATCGTCTCTGTTTTCTTCGGTTTCAGACCCGATCCATGGTTTGCTGGTAATCCAAATGACAAAATCGTATTGATCCGCTTGTTGTAGTTCATTGAACAGCCATTCTTGCTGCTGGGCACTGTAAATGGAAGTATTACTCTTGTCACTTTGTAGATCCGACATTATGAATCGGACTGTCCCGACGGTGAATGCATGGTAGATTGGAACGGGTATCACTGTCGCGTTTTGCAGTCCGTCAGCGGCCGCCGCCGGCAAGGGATAATGGGGAATGGCTTGTTGGTAAGCCAATTGTGCGGATCTTCGAACCCGCGAAGATGGCACTTGATAGTTGATATCTTCATCTCCAACATAATCATGATCATCCCATGTGTATACCAATGGTACCTCTCGGTATAAGTTGGCTTGTTGGGAACTCTTGAGCACGGTACTGTAGGCATCTAATCGCTGCGTCAGGCTGTCGGACTTGATATCTTCGTAATGAAAGTCTCCCATGTGCATCATGAATTGCAGATTGGGATGATCTCTTCGAATAAAGTCAAAGACAGAATTTCGGGATCCGGTCCAAGCACAGCCGGCAGCGGCAATGGAAAAGTTGAATCGAGTTCCCTCGGGTGCCGGTGTTTGAAATTTTCCGTTAAGGCTGGTTCCATAGTAGGACGATCGGACTCCATAGTATAACAGACTCTGTGGCGTCAAGTCTGTGACGGTAATAGCATGAATGCCGTACTGTGGATTGGAGGCGGGATGATTGTCACTGTCACTACTACTGGTACTGGTGGAATCATCATTTTGAGAAAAGAGGGAATGTTCCGAAACGACGAGAAGTAGTCCTGGATCCTCGGCAATGACGAGACGACTGTCATCTTGCTGTGCCGTGCGGGCTCTTCCATTGTCAGCGAGTCGTATACGAAAGCTGGCGGAGTTTTCTGTGATGCCTCCTACCAGGAGCCACTGATCGGCTGGTTGGGTGGCGTAGTTGTAGTTGAATGTCCACAGGTAGTTCATGGTAGCACTGCTGGCAAGGCCCAGAACAGCCACGATCAGATAACCCGTGATCACCTTGCATCCGAGGCTCTTGCAGAGGTCGCCCATGGTATTCTCTGATGTTTTGCTTTGCTTTGCCCTGCTTTGCTTGTGTCTGGGTGGAGCCTTAAGGTTTTTCTCGCTCTATCGGTTTGATGGCTTGGTTTTTCTTGCACTGATTTCACTGATCCGATAAATCTATATTGGGGATCCTCAGCAGAGCAGAGGCACACAAGGACTAGTTTTTATGAATGGTGGCAACGCTGTCCTTTGTTGCTTACTCAGTATACTCAAACCTAGCTAGAGTACCGTACCGGTATGGAGTAGACTGACTTGATGAGATGAGATTAGAGGTCGTCGCTCGGAACGCTGGTGGTTCAAGTTTTGTTTCCCACGGAGCTGCTCTCGGGTCTCGGGGAGAAAGAAAGATCCGTTTGGCCAATTATTTGTGAGAGCTTTTTTGAATCCTTGGAGAAGTGTGCGTCCCAAAGGCAATCACTTCCGGAATTCCTCGAGTCGAGTCGTTGCCGTCCTCGATGCTTTGAAGCTTTGGAGAAGACATCTGTTCTGTTGCCGTTGTTGCTACTGTTGCGACTGTTGCTGATCTGTTTGTCTCCATTGCGGCGACCCAATCTTGTACTAAATACCTAGAGTAGTCATCAAGTTGCGAGACCGATCCGCTGAAGCTTCCTCCATCACCAAGAGAACTGATTTCTTCTGGTACCAACCCACACTTCTACACTCCACATCTTATCACAACCAACCATGGCCCGCCACAAACAACAGCAACGTCAACCCCGCCGTCGATCCCAGAGTAGTGGACGTGATTCTGCCGTGATTGGACGAAGACGACGACAGAGTGCCGGAAGCAACAGCACCGGCAGTAGTAGTGGCAGTGGAAGTGTCCTCGCCGAAGCCCTCAGTCGACGACGACCCGATCCTCCACGACGAAAGAGAAGAATGAGGCCTGGTGAGTACTGAACTGTAGAGTTGAATGGAATGGAATCGATCACAGTGGCTTTTCTCTATTCCACTTTTTCGTGGAGTCGAGTCTGCCTCTTTCTTTTTCTCATGTCACGTTGTTGTCTCATGCTTGTTGCTCCATCCTTCATAATTTTGATATACGGTACAGGCCAAAAGGCTCTGAAAGAAATTCGGCAGTACCAAAAGAGTACGGATCTCTTGTTGCGACGATTGCCATTTGCTCGCTTGGTACGAGAAATTCAAATGAGCATGTCCAAGATCCCCTATCGATGGCAAGGGACGGCCCTTTTGGCGCTACAAGAAGCGGCAGAAGCACATTTGGTCGGGCTCTTTCACGATTGTAACCTCTGTGCGCAACATGGAAAACGAGTCACCATCATGCCCAAAGATATGCAATTGGCACGACGCATTCGTGGGCCACTGAGGGAGTAGTATTAGAGAGAAAGGGATGGAGTGACGCACCGCACCGACTGGCAAACCAAAGCAAACAGTGGTCTTCATCTTCCATAATATCGGTTCACGACCAGGGTCTCGCAACCTATCTATATTTTTGTGGCAGCAACAACAACAATCACCAACAACTATTCTATTTTGACTGTATGTAACGTGGTGGGGGTGGATCACACTAAGGAAAGAAGCGGAAGATACAAAAAGATGGTCCAGGGGGAATATGAGTGCATTCTCCTGGCCACAATAACGTACCGGTATCACTTCCTGAGGATGGATGGATGGACGCCCAGCGAGTCGCTCGAACAAGCATACGTAGCGTATAGAAAATTTGTACTATAGTGAGAATATGCACTTGAACCGCGAAGCAGAGACCAGGCATGAATGATTGATTTCGTTTTCTATCGTTTCCTACCGGTAGGGTAAATGCTACAAACTATAACAATACAACTAATGCGTACCGTACCGGTACCCGGCACCGGAGCTAGCCGACAACCGCAGAGTACAGCTGTTTGACTGGCTTGGAAGCACCTCTCGGAAGCAGCTCGTCAAAGGCTCCTTCGTCAAGATATGTGGCAAATCCAACTCCAGTTTCGTTGTCCATTCCTTCTGTGCCAATGTCAATGGAAATATCGTTCAATGTCTCACGGATATTGTTGCTGTTGGTTTTTCCATTGGTCATCAAACAAGCCACCAAACCAGCCACATGTGGGCTGGCCATGCTGGTTCCAGACATTTGCTGATAGCCACCACCTGGTTTGAATGAAACCACATCGACACCAATCCCAGCGTAGTCCACCTGAGCATTGCTGTTGGAGAACACAGCCACTGGGAAACCATCTTTCTTGGATACAGCCGCCACACTGATGCATTCTCCATACGCCGCAGGGTAGCTTATTTCATTGGTCAAGGGGTTGTTGTCTCCCTCATTTCCGGCAGCACACACCATCACAACTCCTTTTGAAGCAGCGTACTCGACCGCACTTTTAATACTCGGAGTTGGAAAGGGTCCACCAAGGCTCATGTTGATGACTTGACAGCCAGAATCTGTGGCCTCTCTAATTGCCTTGGCAATGGCTGCACTGATGCCCATTCCAGTCCTCCCAAATACCCTGTAATCATATAGTTCTGCATCTGGTGCCATCAGGTGAATTGTGCCGGCAACATGTGTTCCATGATCGTCCTCTTCCAGAGGAGTACCAGAGCGAAGCCAAACCTTATGTTTCACTTGGCCACGGAATCCAGGGTGCTCTTGGTCAATGCCAGAGTCAATAACCGCAACTCTGACACCTTTTCCCGTAAGACCCTCTTTGTGGAGCTTTTCTCCTCCGGTCAGGATGACACCTTCGGGAAGCGCCTGATCACTAACCTCCTTGGAGGTTTCTTGGCGGAGGACACTGGGGCATTTAACCTCGTCGTTGGCCGCACTTTTGCTGCAGCAAGAACCCATGTTTCTGCGTGTTGACGATGGATGAGTTGCTTTGTTAATAAAAATGAAGAGAGCGAGAAGGAGTTCCCAACCTAGCTAGACCAGTAGAGGAGATGCAACAACACTTCTGGATCGAGTCGTGGATATCTCGGTCGTACAAAGGGACGTCGCATATTTCGGGAAAACAAGACACACCTCTGTCACCCACGGACCCATGGGCAGGCCAATAACCAACGAAGATTGCGCTGTTCAACTGTTCACCTGGCCGCCCTGTCAAGCTTGTTTCTAGGTTCCTCTCTTTGGGCTGTGGGATCGTCCATTTTGGCGTGTTACTATGAATCTTTAGAAGTGACTACAAGGCACGTTGCTTCTGATCAGTGGTTGGTGGTTCACCAGCCAGCAGAGAAGAAGATGGGGGTACCGTACGGTACCGGTAGGGAAGACCACAGAAAAGATGAAGGCAGGTGTGGAAATGGCCCATTATGGAAAGTAACTATGAATCTAAGTTATAAAAGTGCTAATCAGTGGTAGTTCACGAGAAAAGAAGATGGATTCAAGAGCGAAGGGAAGACCAAAGAAGAAGGCAGGGTGTGGGTACGGCCCATTTGGAATGCAACAATGAATCTAAGTTTAGTTCTAATTAGTTGGTGGTTCATCAGAGAAGAGGATTGAAGCAAGTGTGCGCCACAGAAGGCGGGAGGCAAGATGGAGGAAAGAAGGGAAGCTCTTTTTTTACGCATCGAATTCTTGTGGACCATTGTCCTGGGTTGGCGTTGGAGTCGGTTCGGCCTGGGAAACGGTCAGAGACATGCTTGTGCCGGACATGTTGCCTGAGTCTTCCTCCATGTCATGAGTGCTGGAATCATCCTTGGGTTGGATCTGTCCTGCCTCCTCGTCGATCGCTTCTTCGTCCGCTTGACGGCGCTCTTCCAACACTCGGTTCAACTCCTTCTTGGCGAACCGAGTGGTGACGAAGATTGCCAAAAATCCAAAGACGGCGCCCACTACGGCAACAATGATGGTGACGGTGGAGTTGTCCCCGCTCATGGCAGAATCCGCAAGAGAACCGGCCGATGCTCCCAGAAAGACGTAGAGGATTGTACCGGGGAGAATTGCAAAGAGGGCAATGGAGTAGTCACGGAAAGAGACGGAAGTGACACCGGCCACATAGTTGATGACGTTGAAAGGGATGATGGGAGATAGACGAAGGAGGATGAAGATACGCAGTCCCTTCTTTTCCAGAGCAGCCTCGAGAGCTTCCATGATGGCGTACTTTTTGGTGAGCCGCTGCATCTGTTGTCGCAGGAGGTAGCGGCCAAGCAGAAATGAAACAATGGCACCTGCACCAGCGCCCAGAAAGACAGCCAAAGTTCCCACCACCACTCCAGCCCCCAGCCCAAACGCCATACCGAAAGTGAATCCAGCTCCCAGCGTGAGGATGGCCCCTGGAATGAAGAATACAGTGGCCACCAAGTAGACAAAGCTAAAGACAAAGACACCAGCAACAGCGTTGTTCTCCACCCATTTCAGGAAATCTTGAATGGCATCCAAGGCGTGCATGTTGGTGATGGAATCGACGATGAAAAAGACAACAAATGCCACAAAGACGAGCCCCACAACGAGTCGGGTGTAGCACGCTTTCTTGGTTTGTCGTTCCATTTCTTCTTCGACGCTGTTTGTTGTAGTTGATTCCATGACTTGCTCGCTTTCAAGCGATGATTCTTCCATACTGACTTCTTCTGCCATCATTTCAAGCGATAGTTCTTCCATACCAACTTCTTCTTCCATCATTGGTGGATCGGCAACAGGTGTGTTTGTGTGAGTTTCGACTGGGGTTGCAGAGAGCATTGTTCTGAATTGATTGATGATTGCTGATTCTTTGTTTTATGGTTTGTTGGTTCTTGTAGATTATGAGATTGCGAATAGGATAGTCTTGAGAGCTTCGACAACGACAGAATCTACTTGGGAAGCAAATGTGTTGACCCAGTCAGATCGACGTTTTGGCTCGAGCGTTGCTGCTCTTTCGTTGTTGACTGACCTTCAATGCTTGAGCAGCCTTTTCGATCACTTTGTGTTTCGCGCCATCAAAATTGTGATCCCATTCCAGCCAGCTGAGCTGTGTAAAAAGTTAGATGGGGCGTTCCAGCAATTTCTCCAACTTCATGAATGGTTGATTGATCATTCGCTCAAAACAAGAACAACGACTTGTGTACAGGTATCGGTGGCTACTAGCTAGTAGTCAGTGCAACTGCAGCAGATGCTTCAGAGCATATCAGCCAAGTATGCGACAAGTGCAAAACTAAAAGTAAAGGAAACTGGTTATGTTAGACAGCTACTGATACGGTACGCAACATGGAATCGACATTGGTATTGTTGGGGTTGAGGACAGATTCGATCTTTCAAACTAGTGATCTCAGGCTTCTGCGCTGGCATATTTCTGTTCCGCACCATTCTCTGGTTCAGGTCCAGCTTCCTCTTGTTTTTCTTGGCGTTCCGCGTCATTCTCAGGTTCAGGTTCAGCTTCCTCTTGCTTTTCTTGGCGTCGCTTGTATCGAGGTTCCCTCATGCATCGGGTGAAGATACTTGCCACCATGTAAAAGATTTGCGAAAGGAGCAATGCAGAAGCATCATCTCCCCAGCGACATCCTCCCTGATTATCACACACTGAACTGCGAATCATGGGCCAAGTCAGAGCCAATCCAATTTGGACACCAACACCACTCAAATCCATAATCTTTTGAGTGCAGGGAAGAGGGAAGAGGCATTGATTGAAAAAACCAAAGACCGCCAAGACGCAACCAAAAATGAGTGCAATCACACAGCAAGCACGAGCCATGTTGAGCAACCAGTCATCCTTGTCAGTTTCATCCTTATTCCAGCCTTGGCAACCACTTCCATTTATGTCGGCTCTCCAAGGACCAATGTTGCCTTTACCATTTCGAAGTTCGAGCATCTTACAAGTGCCAACAACGGCTGCGTTGGCGGCAATGCCTGCAGCGATGGAGCCAAGCACAGCAAGTTCTGCGATTATTCCAACGAGGCCCATGGTTTGGTTTGGATGGATCAAACTTGGAGGATGGTGTTGAAAATGTAATTCTTCAGAAAGATTGTATGGTATTGTGGTGAGGTTTGAGAGAGGTGGTGCCTTTGGAAAACAAAATAATGATGGGAGGTGGGATCTTGAAAGGGGCACTTCCGAATTCCGAATGCGTGAGTTGCAGGTGCATGCTTGAGTACGTACTCGTAGTACCGGAACTACTACCGGCAGCAAGTAGTACCAGCTGGAAGCAACAGCCAAGCAACCCTTGATGAGAGTTGATGGTGCCACCGTTTCTATTAAATTTTCCACGAGGTTCTTGCCTCTTGCGATACATGTACTGAAGGCACTTTTTTCATGTGACCTGTGACATCAGTGATTGGGATGTCTTTCGTGTTCCACTGTGAGACCATTTCTACAGTATCGACTGGGCTGGTGCGTCAAACCATTTCTCCTTTACCTACTGAGGAGTTTTGAGCATTAAGGGCATTAACAAAATCAGCAAAAAAGATTGAAAGCTCCTAGCTAGGTGCTAGCTAGGTACAAAGTATGCATGCTTGCATGCACGTTATATCGACTATCCCAGTGAACTGGAGCCTGAGTCCTGAGTACCGGTACCGTACAGCTAGCTTTCTAAAGGGTACTGCCATTTTACCATGGGGGGGGGTGGAGAAATACAAAATACATGTACAGTGCCATCTCATGTAACCAAGGGAAATAGCTGGTAAACCATAACCAAAACAGTGGTTGACGGTTGACAGTTGACAGTTGACAGTCGTCAACTAAACTGTGGCGAGTCTTCCTCGACTCCCAGCCACCGCCTCAGCTGTCCGCAATCTGGTTGGCATGGGCAGTTCACTAGCTAGGACTATTTAGGTACGACCAAATACACCTAGAGTATGTAGTGTCGAAACGATAGTGCTAGAATTGGGGAACAACGGTGATATTCAGTGCACCAGTGCACCAATCCAAAACCGTTGGAACCCAACATTGAACTGAGAAGAGCCTATGTGCTGACGAACAGCGTGTCGCAGACACGATGCCGAAAGCCCCATGTCAATTGAGTCAGCGGACACCCGGAGTGGTATACAGTCGGACTGTAAACCGCCTTTACTCTAGGTGTAAACCACGAAAGAGAGAGGAGCACAAAAAGATGCGAGCCAACACACAGTACGAGGGAATGAAGACTGAAATTTAAAAGTTAGGCCACCGGATTGACAAAAGTAGCCAGTTTACACTCTTGGAGGAGGAGGAGCCAGGCACAAAGGACGACCATGGCAGTCAATCAGCGGCACTAAGGGCCACCACCAACACCGTTCAAAGACGGAGGCAACAGGGCCACTGCTTGGTCACGCGATGACGGCAGTCGGATTCGGGGGTGAAATTCAATCCGGCCAGGCGTCCGAAGACATAGAGGCCACTAATCATGCCAAGAGCACAAGACTTAGGGGCCGATCATTCGAAGACTTAAGGGCCGATCCAGCTTTTTTGTTGTTGTTGTCGAAAT